ACGTTTGGAACTATTAGAACCAAATCAAACGATTCATTTAGAAGTTTATAGTGAACAACTTTGGCGTCTACACTCAGAATGGATCAAAAAACGCCCACGATTGGTGAATATCGAGAAAGTGTTGTTTCATCCTGATAACGCTAAACCGCATACGGCTCGAACAACGCTGCAAAAAATGAGTGAATTTAATTGGGGACTTTTTCCACATCCTGCTTACTCCCCAGATATTGCCCCAAGTGATTTTCACTTATTTCGTGTCTTACAAAATTTTTACTGGGAAAAAAAATTAAAATCTAAACAGGATGTACGCAATGAACTTTCAAGTTTTTTTGCATCAAAACCAGAGTCTTTCTACAGCAATGCTGCCTGTAAGATGGCGAGACATTATAGATAATGGAGGAAAATATATAATTGATTAAAATGTTAGATTGTGTTTTTTTATTTTATTTAAAAATTTACCAAAAAATGAGCACGAATTTATGGACAGACCTAATATTTTCATTTACTTATTTTACTAAAAGTCTATTTATTATTCATTGCTCTCATATGAAAAGCTGTAAATTTGTTCTAAAATTACAGTCAGGGCTTAATTTCTAAACATACTATTTATTAGCGTGATATTTCCATTGCACTTTCTCCTGACATATTTTGTCTTTCTTAATGAGCTGGCCGTAATCAAGGATGGATTTAGACGTGATGAGGCCCTAAGCTATTTGGGATATAAAACCCTTTATAAGGGTTACGGGGCAGTTTTGTTGTGGGAGGAGGAGCCCACAAAAATGTAGGGACGCTAAGCTATACCTTGTCTCTTATATGTAAATCCGGCACGGTCGTAATACATGCATTTTTTGTATGTTTTTGCTTTATTGTTTGCTGTATAGTTTAGTTATGTCACAGCAATCACTTGGATCAATTTCACGCATATCTATTAAATAGTTTTTATTTTATTCTTTGTTTGCCTTTGTTGCTTATTTTTTAATCAGGAGTGTATTTTTTATACCGTAAGTAATTTAGACTATGCCTGCTTGTTGTGTGCAACAAGTGCTCCAGTCGGTTTTCAAAGAATACTGTCTCTTAGACTTCTTCTGGTCTTCAAAATACAGCAACTATAAAGTTAATTAAATTTTAAATAATGAAATTTAATGGAAACAAATAAATGATTAATTATTGCTGCGAACTAATCTACAGAATAAATATATAATTCCAAAAATTTTTTAATCCTAAAACATTTATAAAAAAATGCATCAGTGAATCAATTCTTGAGTAGGCAGGAGACAGACAGATTTATTTATCAAGGGGAAATTGCCTCCCAAACCTAATTCTTCAATTATTCAATTTCGTGTTTCGTCCATCCATGTAGACAAGGGTAAAAGTCAAAATTCAAAAGCAAAAGTAAAACCAAATGTTGCGAATTACTAAAAAGAAATTTAAACAAGTGGAATTTTGAGAAATTAGCAAATAAATTACTAAAATTAAAGTTTAAAAAAGGTCAATTAAGAGTAGAAAACCAAACTTTTTAGAAAACCAAAGTAATTTAGAAACTCTTGCCTACAGAAAATTTCCCCGACACAAATTATGCATATAAATCAAAAAGAAACTAGATATTATCTATAATAATACTAAAAAGGCAAGTAAATAGTAAGTTTTAATTTAACTTGCCAACTATATTTGTATTTGGAGAGTGTAGCAGTATTTGCCAAACTAAGTGATGTAAAGTAGTGTGTTTCTGCTAACTTTATAAGTAGATGGGCGCTAAAATAAGGTTAAGTTGAGTGTTAAGCTGCTATCTGTTAGATCTATTTAAAAACCTATTCTGTAAACTTTTAAGTAATGTAAAATGTGTGTTCTGTTGCAAAAATATTGCTAACTGAAGTATTGTAAAAATGTATAAAAAATTGTAAAAATATAAACTGTTATGTGAAAAAATGGTTTCAAACTATTAAAAATTGTAAAATAAATATTAAGGATTGTAAAAATTCGAAAATGTTTTTGAAAAAAGTACGAGAGAAAAATTTTGAAGTAAAATTAAATAAATTTAATTTTATTTTTTGAAAAAAATTTAATGTTTTTAATTAAAGTAAGAAATTTATTGTCATAGTCTTAATTTATTAAAAACTGAATTTCAGTAGGTTTAATCAAAACTTTACTAAATGCTGACCAAAGGTAAAGAAAATTAGTAAAAGATAAAAATTTTCCATTCGGGCTATAATTGAGACTTTTGAAAAGAGTTGGTCCTTCATTAGTAAAAGGAAAGAATCCAGTATTGATTAATTACACATTTTTACAAATTAATATTTACAATAACTATTTACAAGATAATCCCTTAATTCTTCAAAATCCTCCATTACCCTCTAGTTAAGGTTTAAGGTAATGTTATCATATAAAGAGTCAAAAAATTATAAAGAAAAGTTAATGCCTGCCTTTTTAATATACAGATTAATAAAATGTGTTGGGACTTGGTTATTAACCTGAACATTAATTAGCTTTATTATTTCTTCCTTTAAATCTTCTATTTCAGTACATATATTTTTATTCTGATTATTTGTCTATACAAAGTGTTACCTATTACTTTTCTAGAGATATTAGAGTTCCAATTAATTAGTTTAATAGTATTAAACTGGAAATTCCTCCTTTTACCATATAATTTAATTTTGCTGTGTTTAATTATGAGCAGGTCTAGGTATTCAATAGTATCTTGATTCGTATTAATTTTATTAAGTGTTAAACTAGTTGGGTAAATTTTGAATTTTTCAAAAGCAGAATTATTGTTGAAAGTTATAATATCATCAATGTATCTAAATGCATTTGCAAATAACTTTAATTCGTTCTTATTCGAACTTAGTTGGAATTTATATTCATAAGGAAAAAGAAATAGGTTACATATTTGCGTAGAACTGTTTGCTCCCATTGGTATCTTATTATTGAATTTAATGTAGTTATTAAATAATGCACAATTGAGGTAAGTTGTCCATCTTTCAATTCAAAGAATGTTAAGCATGTCAGGAAAAAGTTGTGGGAGTTGCATTAAACTAGTGAAAATTCTTTCTAATGGTAGAGAAGTATAAAGGTTTTCAAAATCATAGCAGTTAATGTTCTTGATATCTGAACTTTTAAATTTGTTGAGAACTGGAGCATTATTATAAATAATCCAACTATAGTTGTGTTGCTTGTTAACTAGTTGATGAATTAAAATACAGATATTTTTAAAGTTTAATTGTAAATATGTAATCTATATTCTTTTTATAATTATTTGTACCATGTGCTATAAATCTAAATTTGAGTGGTGATTTATGGAATTAGGAACATCATATAGATTTGCTAATCTATTGTAGTTAGATGGTTGTGAAATTTGTAGTTTCTTATGAATTGCTTTTAGCTTTTTTGCAATGACATTTGACAGTGTATTGGTAAGTTTGTAAGTAATAGCATTATTCAGTTCAGTATTAATTAGTGAGACATAAAAAATTTTCAAATAATGCTGAAATTATTGCTAGCTTTGTCAATTTTGGTAATTACGAATTTTTGTTTCAAATCTTGCAATAGAGGATTGAGAAAATTCCATGGTAAATTCCTGTTAAATTCAATCCTTCGAATTCGTTGCTTTAATTCTTCTAACACTTCATGTTTCCAAGCCATAAAGGTAGAATTCGGAATATTTAATTTGTAACTAGTTTTAACTATGAACTCGTCTAGATTTTTTTCGAAACTTTTAAAACTGTGATTTTTGCCAATTTTTCAGTACTGGTCTAAATTTGGTGCCTTTTTCCATTAAATTTCTTAAAAGCTGGTTTTGAACTATTGTTAAATTGCCAATAACAATATATTTATGAAATTCGTCTACGTAGTTGAAGCTCTTTGCAGTATCCTGTACTCATTTGTACTGCACAGTTCACCTAGGGCGCCAGAAATACTGAAGCTGAGCGTAGTTGTTACAAGTTCCTGGAGGTGAAATTTGTAATAATCCTTTCGGAAAAGTTCACGTGCTGCATACAGCAATGCTGAATTCCAATATTTATACCCACATATTGATTTATAACTTATTGTTGCATAGGCATCCTTTTCTAGAAACTGCCGTTGTATTTCACTGACAGATTCGTTAAAAGTACTTATCCATTAATTCCTCTTAGTTAACCATATTTTACGATAGTTAATGATAAATCTATTTCGCCTTATTAAGCGTTTACGTGACCTTTTCTATTCGGATTTCCATCTTAAATATTTTCCAATAATGAAAATGCAGATTATTTTACGATAATTACCGTTAAGCCTAAATAGAAAATGAAGTTTTTTTCTAGTTTAAAATACTCTTCTAAGAACAATACTCACCTATAAGCACAGTCTTGCCCTATGAGCACAGTCTAAAAATTTTTTAAATATATAAGATTTTACTGCGTACGTTTTCCGTTTAAAGAAAAATATTTAACTTTATCTCGGAGTGAACACTTAGTCTTCTTTATAGAACATCTTCAACTCATATGGCTCAAATAGTTGAAACATTTTTTCATAATATTCCAGCCCTTTTTCACCCGATAAAATGCCTTCAAAAATAAATGGTCTTATAGTATCTGAAACCTGTCCGATACGGTAGATATAGCACGTAAATAATCAAATAAAGATCTTTAAACCCTTTCTGATTTTAAAAATTTAATACGTTAACTGTTTTCAATGAAGAGCTCAGTTTATATCATATAAAATATGAACAGATTCAAATGCTGATCATGTACTTTTGATAAATCGAGCGTTACTAAGTTACAGATTTCTCAAGAGAGCGATAAATTTCTCCATATGGAACCCTACTGCGAGTGAACGAAGTCCCGCCCGTGAGTGAGGTTGCTTCCAAAGCCATTGGACGCCGCCGGATTTGAAACTTTTCTTTTTCCTCCTTTCGCATCATCTGTGTTTTGTTTTTACTCTCTCTGATCTTTCCTTATACACTAACCTTCGCTCTCTTTTAGCCCCACACCCTTCCACCAGACCCCTCACCGAACTGTTTTATACACCTAACACGAGCAGTACTATTTCATACTCACTCACTGCCTCGCTAAAGCCAGCAAGCAGTACTTGACTCTTCAGCCTCTTTTTAATGCACATCGAAAGACACCTTTAAAACTTCAGTATTTTAACTTAATTTTTTTTAATTATTTAAATACTTACTTTTCTTTTATTAATATCGTTTGTTAGGTTAAGAGTTGAGCTAAACATGTTTTGGGTTGTCTTATGTACTTTGCTGGCTTTCGGGGCTTGTCATGTGAACCAACCATCCAAGGCGGGGGGAGGATCGTGTCTGAAAGCTGGAATGTGCTGTCCTGGACGAGATAGCACGTGCGTTGTACAGAAAGCTCCCATCAATGCCATCATAGAGGACCTGAGTGACAAGCCCTGTTACTGCGATCACGCGTGCTTGAAAGTAGGAGATTGCTGCCATGATTTTAAGGAGGCCTGCGAAGGTACGTGGTTCATATTTACATGAAAATCCGTAGAGTTTTAATTAGACCTCCACAGTAATATAAAAGAGGTATTTTACGGCAAAATCCGTCGTTTTTTAGTTTTCCTGTTAAATACAAACATTGGATTTGAATTTAAAAAGTGACTCTGGTCTGAGATTTATTTGATTTTTAATTGATTTGTATACATTACTTCGGTAAACTAGTGAATTTCTTCAGAATAAAAACAGTTCTGTGGTGTATTATTTTAAAAAGCAAAAAGAGAACAAGTTTCAAGATTTAAATTATTTTATACCCTATATTATAGTTTGGTTTTGTTTTATATCATACTAGCAGCTTCGCTGCCAGCCTTCGTCTGGCTTTTAAATGCACCGGAAAAATGGCTGAAGGGAACACCAAACGTTAAATTTAAAAACTGCGTAGAATTTTACTCTGCAGAACAACTTCATAAAAAAAAGTTATTACGTATAACAAAAATTACAATGAAATAAGCAATATCCCTTAATACAAATATTAATTATCCTAATAAATAAATTAACCAACTTCCCTTTGCAAAATCTTAAGAACTCAAATGGTATAAAGGAGAGATATAAAGAGGTATAAAAAATTTTGTTTCCTAAAAAAATCACTCAAAACTTTTCAACATCTTAAAAACAGTGAAATGAGCAATAAATAACATAAAAGAATACAAAAAACCAAAAATTCTGAAAAGCAAAGTATAATTAATAATATTTTATCTTATATTTTCAAGAGAAAAAAATTACAATGAAATAAGCTATATCCCGTAATACAAATATTAATTATCCTAATAAATAAATTAACTAACTTTCCGTTGAAGGAAAAAAATCATGCAAAACTTTTCAATATCTTACAAACAGTGAAATAAGCAAAGAATAACATGAAAGCAACTCAAAAAACATAAAATTATGCGCAGAATTTTACTCTGCAGAAATATGCCTATCTCTTAAAAACAGCGACATAAGAAATACGATGAAAAATTGTTGCCAAACCCATATTTCTAAAAGAATAAAACCATTCAAAATGATGCGATTTCATCAAAAATTATCAACAACAATAAGAAAGGAAAATTGTTGCCAAAATTCCATTTTTAAAGATGTGAGATGTGAGAAGTGTACTTGGAAGCTTCATTTAAAAAATGTTTTAAAAATGCAAAATATTATCATTTTTCCAAAATTCTTTTTGTAAAAGCAGTCGCAAGGATGAAAGTTTAACGTGTCCAAAAAAATCAAAGAAAAATAAACTGTACATTTTAAAAAATAAACTTTTTTAGAAAAAATCCCGTTGAAAATGTGTTAAGCTCCCTTTGTTAAATAAATTCGTATTTAATCGATTTATTGAAACACGAAATGTATTTTAAGTTCGTAAAATAGCTAAGTGCCTACGTTTCATGACGATGTGAAAATGGAATGTGTAGAGTAAAATCTCGCTTTCCTATAGCCCATTATGTCTCTAAATGACGCGATTTCGTCGCAAAACATAAAATAAAAAAAAAATTCGAATTCGAATTTCGAAAAAAACGCTTCGAGGTGCACTGGCTCTTGTCTACCAAATTTTGTAGCCGTGGGTCTATTAGCTTACGCGCAACACACAGACTCTTTCTTTTATTATATGTAGAGAAGATAACACTCCAGCATTTAGCCAGAATAGTCAAGTTATATATAGATTTTTCCCCCTTGATGGCAGAGGTTAATTTAACAAATGAGCGAATTTAAACAAAATTTATAGAGAGTATGTATATTTAGGCTTTAGTAATCATCCATCTTTATAGCATTGAGCATTATATGAAATTCTGATTAGGAATTTAGCGCAGTAATGGGACTGTTTTAAAAGTAAACCAGGACGATTTTTCTAATCGCCTGTAATCACAACCCGATTTCCAAGGCAAACTCTTCTCAATCAGTTCTACATATAACCTTTAAATCTCACGTCTTCTGGGTGAACGCCAAAGAATGTAATCGAACGCAGGGGTCAGTGAAGGATTTGCGTATAAGCTGCGCAAGCTATAGCTTAGGGCCCCCGCTTTCTCGGGGGGGGCCTCTAAAAAAACTTCTAGTTATCTGAAAATCATATTTGGCACTGACGTATAATATCTGGACTTTAAAAGGGCCCCATATCTCAGATAGTTTAAGGCCTTGTCAAGTCTAAATCCAGCCTTTGCAAGGGATGGCGAACCTTTTTCGCCATTTAAATTACGGTTCATTTAAATTACGGCGTGCCATTTAAATTACGGTGTACCATTAAAAAATTACGGTTTATTATTTTCAGGTGTCCAGTCTCTACTTATTATATTTCTTTTTAAAAATCATCTTAAAACCCTTGCTTTGATTTCAAACTATCGAATTCTATTTTTAATGATATTAGCTGTTTAGTTATTAACTTAAGTTATTAACTTGCTGTTTAGTTGTTAACTTGTTTGCTCAGCTATTAATGGCACCCATCGTCGTGCTCGTTTCTGAAGCCGCCTTTGATGGCCTCTAGTCTCGAAGATGTTTTGTTTTCTTTCTTTCTTTCTTTCTTTCTTTTTAGCCCTATGGGGTATTAGCCCAGAAGGGCTATTAGTCTCGAAACGGCATTTTGCGTTGAATCACTAAAAGCGTTGTATCACTTTTCAAATTGTTGCTTCAAAATATTATCGCCCTGTATTATGTTTAAAGAAATAAAATTAAGAAGAATCTGCTTGAATGTATGTATGTTTTTCGCACTGTGAAAAAACAACGGTAGCTAGAGCCATCAAATTTTGAATAATGTAGTCCTTCACCCGAATATGAGCATCTGGAAGCCTGAATTTGAAATTTGTTTGATTGTTTATTTCATATTTTGTAATCCTTTAACAAATTTTTGATTAACAAACTCAACGATTTCAAAGCGAGCAGTTACAACACTGTACGGAGGGGGAAAAAAACATTTTTATCTCCAGCGTGCGAGACTGTCTATCAGAAATTCTAGATAGGTTGTTTTAAGTTGTTGTTATTGTTGATGATTGTTTTAAAGATAGGTTGTTTTTAAATATTTTTAGCCCAAAGGGACATTAATCCGAATGCTCTCGGAACGTGTATGTGGGTGTAAATGAAACAAAAAAAAAACACCTCTTCGGGCGTAATATAAAATCTGAACGCTTTTAGATTTTTTTAAATGTTGTTATCAGTTAATATAAGTGAATAAAAGAAATTCAATATGTACCTGTGGCGTGCCAGCTACAGGTACATATTGAATTTGTGCCGTAGATTTCCCATCCCTGATCGAACATTTACGGCTCCGTAACATTCGATTTTTTGTATTGTTCTTCCCTTCACAGAATTGATCATTTCACTCTTACATTACTCTTAAGATGGATATTTGCCAAGCTCTTGGGTAAAGTAGCCGCTCCTACTTTTCTTCTATCTTCTTCAAGGATCCGACGTTTTATCACCTATAATCGTAATGAAGCCAATAGCAAAATTCAAATATGAGTATCCGTTTTCGTCTGGCTATAGATTAGATATGCCAATCGCTCTTCCCGAATGCCCTAAAAGACCCGCAGTATTCATCAGCAGTAAGTGTTATAATGCGCTCTACAAATATGAAAGCAGATATATTAGTCTTATCATGTTTTGCAAATATTAACCGGATAGATTACTGCGCAAATATAAAAACAAAATCAAGATAAATTGAATTTAAAATTTTAATAACGAACTCTCTTTTGAAAGGTACATTGAAAACCGGATAATAATCGGAATAAAATAATATTTTAGGAAAAGAAGGTAAAAAAAGTCCATAACATAGTCTCATACCACACAAATAGGAATATTATTTGCATCTTACTAAAATAATTAGAGAATATATTTTTGAAGTAATTCGCATGAAAGCATACTTTCTCTCACCTTCCAGCATGTCTCCGTGGTGGTGTAACAGTAGCACACTCGGCTCGTATTCTAGATGTCCTGGTTCGAGTCCCGGCGCTGGCATAGCTCATTTTTCGTGTACTCCTGCTTTAAAAATACCTAATGTCGACAGCCAAAAGGTGTGGCGCCCGAACTATAGCCTGAACTACCGGGATTTGGCGATTAAGGTATCTGCCTACGTTAAAAAAATGATTTCGGCGAAAAAATTCGATTTTTTTTTTATTGCCCAATTTGAAAGGTCAATTTTGTAGGATTCCGAAAATGGTTCATTTTTACGTTTGTGATAAATTAACTGCACTGGAAGTGAAAGCAGAAAGACCGGAAGTGCCATTTAAAAGGCTCAACTTAAAGGTAAACAATGTTGTTATCCGTGTTTTTTTTTAACTGTTTGTGTGTAAAATTGTGCTAAACCATTTCATTTTAATTCTGGGTACTTTTTTTTTTTTTGTTTCTGGCAATAATTATTTGCCTTAATTCTTTGAACTGGACTGGCAACATTGCGGTTTTTTTAACTGGGTTTGGCAACATTGCGATTAGGTATAAAGACTATGTTGCTGGGTGCATATATAGCCGTTTTAATTTTTAATTCAGGGTATCTTGGATTACTTCCTGTGTTTGAACATTTAGGCATATCAATTGAACAAGAAATGATTAAAAATTACTTTGGAATTGATAACGAAAGAATAAAGAACTCGAAAATTCATTCGTCGCTCATTTCGAAAATAGCCAGAAAAAAATTAAAATCAAATAGGAAATCAAAATTACTTAAGTATAAAGATATGGAGGGTGTGATGTACAAATGTGGAGAATTTTAAGTGTGTAAATACAACAGAACAGTTTTTCTGTTAATGTGAAATCTTTAAATGCGTTTTCTGAAAAACTAATTTTTCTAGTGTTTTTACATACAAGAAAATGTAATTACTCAAAATGTTCTAAAGATATCTCTATTAAATTTCACTAAAATGTGTTTTCTATATTATTTATTAGGTTTTTAAGCTACAATCTAAGTAATATTTATTAATTTGATTGTTTTATAAGTATTTCTATATAAAACGATAAGAAATATTTTACAAAAAACTGTGTTTTTTTTCATGTAATTAC